GAGTGGTTTTGCATAGATGTCCATTTAACTGTAAAAGCAACTTCTGTAAATGTTATTGTTCATTTAAAAATAAGGACATTCAGTGCTTGTATCTGGATGTGTAACAGTTTTTCCTTTATGTTAAATGTTGTGCACCATGTTCGTGATTTACCTGTTTGTTTTTGCCCGTCTCTTTTCTCTCTGGTGATACAGAGACCATAAAAGTCAGACTTCGGACTCTCATGATGATCAAATATTAACTGTTGTCAACCATAAAACTATAAAACCTCGAGCATCTCGTACAATCTGCTAACCTGCAGCCTGAAATCAGCACGTATGACTCACACACAAACCTTTCAAAGCTAACTGCATCAAGTATGTTTCTATTGCTTTCTCGTGTGGTTAGTGTTACAAAATATGTTTAATCAGGAAAATTAGTGAATTAAATAATAAAAAGAATAATATTTCTGGTGGTTGCGCTGCGTGGCTCACGATGGTTTCAGTGGAGATTATGTCATTAGTAGCATGGCAGCGACTCTGGTGCACTTCTCCTCTTTAGCTGACTCAGCAGTGAAACTTCTTTATTTGGATGTTTCTGTTCCTCTCCTGTTCCCATCGCCCAGAAACCAGAGAGCACGGCTGTACTGATGAAGTATGAACTTCAGTTTAGGGTTCAGTGTGGTAACTGACACATGTAGGGAACCAGATTACCCTACATGTGATCTGCTAATAAAAATAACCTCCAATATTGTAAGCTGTGGGTTTTAAGAACAGATGAAGTGGCGCAGCTTCACTTCCCTCCACACAATAAAACAACTGGTGGAGGTGATGTTGAGCATGTGGGGCAATAACAGCTGCTCGATAACTGACTTCACTCAGTCTTTATTGAAATTCTTTGACTGGAGTTTTAAATTGGACACAGATCTGTGATTACTGATAATATGAACACTGAATCTGTTAGTCGAGGCTGAAAAAGGGGTGAAAAAATTATTCAGCGATTATTTAAATAAAAATAAATAAATTTAAATATAAAAAAAAATAGTTTTAAATTTACGACATGTATGTAAGGTTTGTGCATCACAGCCATAACTAACAACCATTCATCTCGTTGGATATAATTATAAATGTAATTATAACGATTATGTATTGTATGCAGGAAACACCCTCTCCCATAGAAATGTCAGTATCAGCATCACTCGCTTGCATAATGAAAACAACACCAGCACTGGAATATTTTTGTTGACCAACCCAGAGGTGTGTTTGTGTGTTTTTCTGTAGGGCGTTTGGATTTAGTGAGAAACCTTTCTGTGCCAGAAATCTTCATTTAGCCTGTGGCTCCATCACTGACCTGCAGCTGAGCTTTTCTAGCATGATGCTGCTGAATGTTTCCTGTCATTTAGCATTAGCAAACGTCTCCTCTGAGATACCTCAAAATTCACAAATAGGATATTTACTGATATATTTTATCTTGTAGAACTTGTGTTACTAATAAAGCATCAAAACAAAACTCATTAAAAAACAAACTGACATCCAGATGAGCAAACTGAAAGTACGAGATGCTGGATCATTTCTGTTTCCTGTGGCACGCTCACAGCAGCAGTTTATCAATTAATTTTAAAATATGCTTGTAAAGAACCAGATTACCCTACATGCTAATAAAATAACCTCCAATATTGTAGGCTGTGCAACGTCGCCGCAACTCATCCACAACTTTTGGCATTTTAAAGAAAAAGAAAACAATCGAAAGCTCAAGTAGAAATACCCAGCGTCCTCTGCAGAACACAAACCCTCTCAAAATAATAAAAACCTGTGGATCGTTGTGACTCAGGTGTGGCTGGAGACTCGACTACATTATCTATCATCGTCATCGATGTGGTCAGGGGGAAACAGAAGGAGTGGCCCTGCAGTTTATGGCCCCTGTTAGAGTAAAGTCCCTGTGCTGGAGCGCCAGATGTCAGATTAACAGGACGTAACTGAAAGAGCGACACCAGAGCCTCCATCACCTCCAGCCTGTTCCTACCTGAAGGCTTCAGCTCAGAGGACACAGAGTTTCTCCCTTTAATACTCCTGTGAACGTTGCTGTTGTGGTAGCTGGATTTTTTTTAAAGTAATTTTTGTGGAAACATCCTGTAATCATGTCGACGGCAGTGGAAGCGGTCGGGTTCATCATGTGCATAATCAGCTGGCTGGTTAACGGTGCGGCGCTGGTTAACGACTACTGGAAGGTTTCCACCGTGTCCGGCAGCGTGATCATCTCTCAGAGGCAGTTTGAAAACTTGTGGCACGCCTGTGCCGAGAACAGCGCGGGAATCGCCGAATGCCGGGACTTTGAATCGATGCTGGCCCTCCCCGGTAAGACCGGACACTCAAGTCCTCCTCTTACTTATCTCGAGCTGAGAGGTGATGTCAGACACTCTGATCAAACCTGATAACAAATTAATGTTAGCATTATATTTGCTTTAAAAAGCAGCATTAGTGTCTATGAAAAGCAGAACAAAGCAAACAGAATAAAAAAACTAAACTGTTGACCAATCGTGTCCCAGGAAACAGGATGTGCTCAGACCTTTTAGGCCCCACCAGACAAACAGTTTAGTTTCCATCTCATAAAGCTATAAAGGTGTCGTATCTTTGTAAAGCTCTTGTCACTGGTTGTTTAGAAAATAGGCCAGCATGTCGCGTGGCAGCATTTCAGAATTAGTCGTCCAAAGGTTGCTGACGGTTTCACAGCCGGATGTTTCCCGCCTGAAGTAAAAATGAAAATAGATACTTATTAAAATGTTTGTTATAAAGTTGCCAAATCTTCAGAAAAATCTTAGCTTGATCAATAAAGGTTATTATTGGATTGTGTTAGGTTGACTTTTCCTCAGTAATTGTTATACAAGGATAGTTTTTGGACGCCATTTTGAGTTTTCTCTGTTGAAACAAAGAAACTTCTCAGAGAAGATAAAAACTCTCAAACAAACAGCTCAGTTGACTGGAGGCTTATTTTTGATGTTTTTTGTATTTTAAACCTCATCAAATCTCTCGACACTTTTTCCTACAGTGATAAAGACGTAACGAGATGACAGGTTTCCTCCTGCAATTCAGGCTCTAATGAAATATCCAGTATAAAAGATTAAAAGTTACAATTTTTGAGAGTTTTGAACTTCTTTAGAAAGTTTAGTGTCATATATTTATATACCTGAAACCAAACTCATCATCATTACTCGGTATGACTCCTACCAGCTTACCCACCATTGCTCCTGAAACTCCCTGAAGCTCATAAAGAGGTGTGGTAGCTGTTTCTAATGATTAGCAGAGGTCATCAGGTTAATAAATGACTGCACCAGCTGTAAAACACACAGATACACACCTAACGTTACAGCCAGTTCCTCCTTTTCCTTAAACAGATCAGCTTTTGTGTATTTTTA